CACACTTCATAGTAACATCACTAGCCAAGCCAGTCATGGAAGTCCCAAGTTTTAAGAAAGAGGATGTGACCAAAAATACACTAGGCACGTGAACTGAAGACAAATGCTAGGAGCTTGCATTGGAGCAAGAGCATACGCTACAAACTAAAGAAGTGGTGAAAATCAAATGTAGATTCTCAAAAAAAACTCCATAGAATTTTTAGAAAATTTTAAATCATAAAAAGTTTGGAAAATCCCTAGCATCAAAACGTAAAATTTTTAAAGAGTTTATAAGCATTTCTAACGAAAAAATTAAAACTTGTCCTTTTTTATTTATAGACAACTGCTTCTTCATTAGAAATGGAACTCGGGAATTTTCGTTAAAACTATTTAGAGAGAATAGTCTTGTTTGTCAAAATCAGGAATTAGGTCTAGTTGACGTTCATCCTGGTGAAGTCATTTATAAAGTAGTTTGTATATCCATTAGGACGGAATGAATTCATTCTGGGCATCCCGAACTTTTCTTTGTTTTTTTTCTCTGAGCGTCTGTACATCTTGGGTTATGAACAATAACCAATACTGTCATGTTTCCCCTTGTGATCTTCGAGGTTGAAATGTTCTCCAACTGTTAATTAACTTTCTTTGTCTAAATGGTCGAACGCTGATTATTGATTCTTCTGCGGAGATCTTCTGCTGAAATAACAGACATCACATGATTTGCCAAATATATTTCATATTTTTCATATACGAGGGGTGATCAAAAAGTTCGCGAACTAATTAAATTACTTCCTTAAAAGAAATGAAATGAGGTTTCAGTGTTCATTATTTTTTAAAGTTGTCCTCTCCGATTTTAATGCACATCTGCCATTGTCCTGCCCATGCGCGAATCACGTGATCCAGGCGGTCACGTGACATGCTTCATAGCGGTCTGTTCACAGAAGCTAAGAGATTTTTCCGAATCTTATATTTCTTACCATGCAAGTAATCTTTTATAACAAGAGCAGACCATCTGTCAGAAATGGCCAAATCTCGGCAATATGATAGGTGGATAAAGATATCCCTTCCAAGAATTAGCATGGTGACCATCACAACCCGAGTCCTCTGTCTCGGGAGCGTCGTTTATCCAATGTGGAAAAAGTATCGGCGTCTTCTTTTTTCATATCTCATATGTTTAATGTCTAAAGTAAACGATAAATTTAGGGATATGATAACTACAGGTAAACTTCGGTATCTCGACATCGGATATGTCGACAACTTGGGATATGTCGACGTCCGTCCGCGGTCCCGGCAGTATTTACTATATAAATGATTTGCAAAAACTCTGATATGTCGACATCGGTAATCTCGACAACCCTGGTTATCTCGACGTATATTCACAGTCCCAAGAGCAAAATTTACCTGGTATATGTCGACATCAGCAATTTTCTGCTCCACTGAACGTAACTGTTTGTCAGATAGGGTCGCTCGTCACGCACGGACGGCTTCGGGTATCTCGACGTCGTCAAAAATTCACACCTTTCACACCCATGTTTTGACTGCACGCTGCTTAATTAATTCTATAGACTGTGTTTGTAGGTGAATCCAAAGCCCCCTCGGCGTCTTTGAAACGTTAATTGCTTAATATTTAGCTTGGGTAATATCACTGATAAATCTACACGATTCTGCTTAAATTTACAGGTGTTTATTTATGTCGAAACCTAACATAACTTTTAAAATTGAAAAAGATTACTAAATTACAAAGACTAATAAACATATTGAATAAATTCAAACTAAAGAATTAAACGATGTTCTAATAATATTTTGTAGTTAAAATGCATTCAACAGGAAATAATCCGATTAACGACACGATTAACCGAATCATCCGTAATTCATGCATCTGTAATATCACTACGTTACTTTAGATACACAAATCTCTTAAAAAATATTAATGCACATTCTCCTGAATGAAATAAGAAAAAAAAATTACGCATTTAATATGTTTTCGAATCTCAGATGTCGACTTTATCATGTTTATACGGTTCGGTTCGAAGTTTATAGAGCGCATTTCGTATCCTGTTCTGACAAAAAAGCAAGTAACACGCGAATGTTGGAAGGAAAACTACAAAAATTTAGAACGATTTCGATAAAGAGAAAGAACAAATTTTATAAATAAGATTTTTAAAAATAACTTCTTAGATTTTTAATAAAAATAGAGGGATTGCTGAAATAAGTTGACCTACAGTCTATATTGAAGTCATGTACGTATAAGCTTATACACATGTATGTGTTTGGTTATGCAGTGAAATCTTGGACGTCAAGTCTCAACTCTGATATCTCGACACCTCGGATATCTCGACATTTTCCGATGGTCCCGTCGATGTCGAGATAACGAAGTTTACCTGTATATTATTGCTCAGATATTCAACTATTTTTCTTACTGTAACTCGTCGATCTTTTAAAACAAATTGCTCATCTAAGGACATATCTTTTTACCGTCTTGCTTTCGCTGGGCAACAGAATAAACATCATTTTTAACCATATCCCTGCCTTCACTAAAAAATTCAATCCAATTAATGATTGAACTTCTGGTAAGTCTTTTGTCTTCATAAACCTTGTACAAATTATCATATTCTACTGCAAAGGAATTCCGAGATATATGTTAAACTTTACAGTCGTTCGTTGCTCGAGTACGACTGAGTCAACCATTTTTTTGTCACAAGTGACCTACATACTGACGTCACAAACATGAAGCAAAACATTGGGCGTGCTTGATTTAACTTAACTTGGTGTACACCGGTGTGAAAGGTGGTGGTGTATAATCAAGTGCATTTTACGAAGTGTAGTGTATATGGTGTAGTATATGTTTTGCATCTCGCCAGTGTGGGGCTAAAACGTTTTGGTTTAAAGTGAAAAGAAAATTAAAATACAATAAGAATTGACTAAATGATATAAAATGATTAAAAAATAATTTCAATGTCATCACTTACACACAAAAGACAACTTGAATGTGATTTCTTATCCTTTATATTACATAAAATCATTTCTTAAATTTTCAATAGTACCATTCTCCGCCATATTGGATTCAGTGTACACTTTTCAACACATGCCCTAAATTTGGTGTAAGAAAGTGTACACTAAAAGTCTACACCCATGCACTTGATTAAGAAAGATGTACACGGTGTAAGCGGTGTAAGTAAATCAAACGCGCCCAATATTTAACATCTGCTATTTATAGAACATGTGTATGACTATGTATGTGCCTAATTTCATTCTGATCTGAATTGTGGTTTTTTAAATATAGAGATAGTTCGCGAACTTTTTGATCACCCCTCGTATTCATGTTTTACTTAATAAAGACATTAATGACAAACTATATAACAAAGGAGATGACTCCCGATTTTCCATCGTCAACTTTCTCAGTTTTGTAGTAATATTCCACTATCACCTGCATATGCTTGTTTATGTCTCCCAACTGATTTGGTATACAAGATTATGTTCTGAGTACGACCAATTAATAAATTGACACAGGCTAATGACAAATAAGTTGATAATCCAATGTTACAGAGCTTCCAACAGCTAGCATAAATTAAAGTCAACATTTTGCAAATTCGTAATCGTTATAATGATCTTGTTTGCAAATACAACCTATCTTTGTGTTGAATTTGACACGCACGTTTCATACCAATTGCTAGGCCATTGTAATCAAACTAATCAAAATCGAATTAATCTTTCCAATCTAACTAATCTTTCAAACTCATTTAGACTGTGAATTACCCTGTTAACCTGATCAATACAGAAGGCTCAAGGCGATTGTGACCATCGACATGGGATGCACGCTCCTCTTAGGCATTTGGTCCCACGTCTGGTGTTTTCATGGATCTGTGTTTTGCTCCATTCACGATCTATATTATTTACATCATTGTTCATAAACCTTTTCATCATTAAACCTTGATCAGTCTGCATAAAAAATGTGCTGGACTAATATGATTTGGGGACCTGTTTTGGCAAGCTTTGCAATTGCTAGTTTAGTTGAAACCAGCAACGTAAGCATGTACCTGCTACGGAAACGGAACTATATTTTCAATACACTCAGTATAGCAATTTGATGAAAAGTCTTTCCTCTAGTGTTCGGTCAGTTTACAGCACGATAGTGCTTTATAGAATGTTAGGTATGTATTTATTGATAACCCAGTTAACATCTAACTGACCGGAAAATGTTCTGATAAACAACCACTTATTGCGCATTGACTCGTCTTATCAATTTTAATTGAGGACTACAGATCACAGAACCATATACATGTAGATTCTTTACTATGTGGACTCTTTATTGTTTATTGACTCTGTCCTTTCGTTTTCTTTCAATAAATGGACAATCAACAGAAGACAAAAGGATCCTGAAGCTAGAAGAAGATCTGAAATCTTTTCATAACTTAGTTGACGAGCTTCGTGAAGTCATCCGTATCCAAAATGATCGCATTGAAGAAATGGAAAAAAGGACCTTCAAACTAGAACATGCTAATCTTGAATATATCACTAACATTTCGGAACTGAAGCGAACAGTTGTCTCCTGCTTGGAGCTTCAAAAAGAGGATACCGCGCGGATTAAAAGTCTTGAGGACGCAATTCAAAAGATTCAGTACAACAGAACACTACAAGACGGCACATCTGTTTTAAGAAGTAGGCATATTAAATTCAGAAATCTTTGCGTTGTCAAAATGAAAATTAAGGTAGACAAAACCTTCCCTCAAGAGGATGTGATGCATGTAAAATTGTAAATGGCCTTTTAATTCCGGTCTATAAAGTGGCGGAGTAATACAACTGAATATGTTTTTTTATGTTAATGTAAAGCATTGATTAAGCTTTGATGTTGTTCTTTCCAGACTTTACTTATTCTGCGTGAAATCATTCACTAGCTACAAATTTATATTTTAGAATCTGAATTCACTAGACATTCAATTTGAATTCATAGTACAACATCTATTTGCATTCATTACCAAAACCCATACAAAAGGATAATTTAAATAAGAATTTCGTTTTCTTTCTTCAAAGAGAGATTACTTGGACCAACACAAGCTCCATCGGAGGGTAATGTCGCTTTCTATGCCTACATGTCCACCAGCCTGGTAAATCCTAGCAGTTATCACACCCTGATCTTTGACACGGTCATCACAAACGATGGCAATGGTTACCATCCAAATACAGGAGTTTTTATCGTCCCAGAGTCTGGTCTCTACGTCTTTACATGGGTTATGAGGTTGTGGAATCATGCGACACACGGCACGGAACTGATGGTAAACAAAATCAGTTTGGGTTCGGTATTCTTGCATGCCGTGACTGACGACCACAGTGTTACGGGAGTAGTTGTCGCTCACGCCAATCAGGGTGATGACGTGTTTGTACGCACTCAGGGTGACGCTAATATCGGAAACATCGGCAGTGATTATCACGGAAAGTCATCCTTTGCTGGCTGGAAGATAAACTGATACATGCTTATGTTTACTTTTTACTGTTATTAGTTTATATGTAAACATAGGGGGAAAATTTGGCCGTAATTTATTGAACTTTTTCAGCTTTTTAACAGTTTTTTTTTTATAAAACTGCTAATTATTGTTACCAAATTTGGAATGAAGCATCCAGGAGAAGTTGGGAGGTGTGTCATGGATTCCAGTAAACTGAGGCCTGGTGAGGTCAAAAGCAGCAAATTCATATAATTTAAAATCTACTTATTAGAGCTTTTGCCTCATGAAAACAAAAATGACACCTCTTTCAAATATCCTTGTCTACTGGATGCCTACTGGATTCGGGCCACGGTTTAATTGATCATATACTAAAATGCACAACCTTATTGAAATTCTTTTCTCCTACAAGCGCAGACAAAATGACACAAACTGCTTAGTTATTTTTATATACACGTACTTACTAATACATGTTATAGAAAGAATTTCAAAATGCTATTGGTAATATACTCGGAAAATTTGTATTTTTGTTTGTTTGCTTGCTTTCTTTCTTTCGAGAACATGCTCTCATCTGAGGACGCCTCCCATTGCCAGTGGAAGGCCGCATTTTAAGATTAACTGATCTAAAGCGAAGCAAGACCTCAGCTTTAACCACTGCGCCACAAGGGCAACAGAAAATTTAGTAAGTGAAAATTTCGCATTCAAGAGCAATCACAGATTTTATCACAATCTAGGTAACTTCAAAAAAAAAAGACAAAAAAAAAACCAGTCCCAGCGAACCCAGAAGATGGGATTTGTTTAATGAATGGGTTCATTTTTTTGTTGTTTAATGTCCCTCTCGAGAATTTTTCACTCATATGGAGACGCAACCACTTGCCGGTGGAGAGCGGCAAATTTTGACCTATGCTCGGCACTCGGGGCATTGAGCAGTGAGGGATCTTTTTCGTGCCAGTACCTACTGCGACACGGGACCTCGGTTTATACGGTCTCATCCGAAGGACCTGTGTCCACGTCCCACAGTGAGTTTCGAACTTGCGACGTAATAATCAACTCCTTACTCCGTGAATATCATAATTTAGTAGAAAACTGGAAATTAAAATTGTATTTAACACTGTTTGAGTCTGGAATTCCACCGGTCCATGTCTTTGGAGCGCCGAACTCCTACATTCAGAGGTGGAGGTTTAAGTTTTCTATCCTTTGCTATCACCTTCCTTAGAGGTTCAACGATCTTGAATTCTTGGACATGTACAGGTGGTAATTTCAACAGGTTGTAGAAAGACATCCGCACTTTTGGGTGTCAGTGGCGTAGGATCTTCCTCTTAGAGCGGCGTGAAGTTAGAAGCCTGTGAAAAAGAGGAGGCATATTGCTGACTTTGTGCCTGGAACGCCATGGATCATGAGAAATGTTCGAAGATAGTTACGAAGCTGATAAGGTCTGCTCTTTTGGAATAATGTATTTAGCAATGTGTACTAGTATCAAACTTCCTTCCGAAACCATCGGTCCTGCATTCATGAGATTATTGTGATTGCTTTGTATTTTGTACACCGGTTCGCTAAATGAATGAATTAAGATATAAGCTTCCTCACTCGTTTAAGTAGATAATTACCACTTTTTCGATTTCTATTTTTATCTCTTAAATTAACTTTCGCCAAAATTGTTTAACGTTGGTCAGTATTAACTTGAAGGGAAATACCAGAACCTACGAATGAATTCATAGAGAAATATTTTCGGTTCTGTTTTTGCCACAGTATTTGGTACAGCAAAAGCATCAGTGTATCCATTTAGTGAATAAATCTACAATGCAAGACCGATATTTTCGACACTATGAGTTCTACCCAAGGAAATTTTCCTTACAAAGTCTAGGGAGAACTACATATTTTTTCATAGGACCTTAAGGAGTGTGGTTTGGTGGAGTGCTTGGCACGGCCGGTATTCTAGGCAATATTTATTATGTCTCCCCTTCCAGGGGAGACATATTGTTTTTGTCGATTTTCTTCTTCTTCTTCTTCATCCAAATTTTGTCCAGGCCGTAACTTAAATACCCTTTGACATTAAGACTTCAAACTTGGAACATAGATAGATGACATTGAGAAGGAGTGCACGCCACCAACATTTTTGACCTTGACTTATATATAAGGTCAAGGTCAATCTTTTACATCAAAATAGAGTTCAGCCCATAACTTGAGATCCCTTTGATATTAAGACTTCAAACTTGTAACATAGGAAGAAGACCTTAAGATAAAATGCACTGCATTAGAATTTTGACCTTGACCCCTTTCTGCTTTCAAGGTCAAATAGGGAAAAAAACACGATCTGACCATATTTTGAGAACCTTTTGACATTAAGACTTCAAACTTTGAACATGTAGAGGTGGCATAAAGGAGGGATGCATGCCACCAAAATTTTTGACCTTGATTCACTTATTATAAGGTCAAGGTCAATCTTTTACATCAAAATATAGTCCAAGCCATAGCTTGAGTACCTTTTGATATTAGGACTTCAAACTTGTAACAGAGAAAGAAGAAATTGATTCAAGATGCAACACACCATAATTTTTGACCTTGACCTCTTTTCTTCCTCAAGGTCAAATAGGGAAAAAAACTTGATTAGACCATTACTTAGGAATCTTTTGTTATAAAGACTTCAGACATGGAACATGCAGAAGTGGTATGAAGGAGGGATGCATGCCACCAAAATTTTTGACCTTGATCCAATTATTATAATGTCAAGGTCAATCTTTTACATCAAAATAGAGTCCAGGCCTTAGCTTGAGTACTCTTTGATATTAGGACTTCAAACTTGTAATATAGAAAAAAGACATTGTTACAAGATGCAGCGCTTCAAAATTTTGACCTTGACCCCTTTCTGCAAGGTCAAATAGAGAAAACATGACTAGACCATAACTTGAGAACCCTGTCATTAAGACTTCAAACTTGGAACATGGAGAGGTGGTATAGAGGAAGGGTGAATGCCAACATTTTTTTTCACCTTGACCTATTAATAAATTCAAGGTCAATCGTTTACATGAAAATATAGTCTAGGTCATAACTTGACAACTTTTTAACGTTAGGGTTTCAAACTTGGAACAAGGAAAGACAACATTGAGACTAAATGCACTGCATCAAAATATTTGACCTTGACCACTTTCTTCAAGGTCAACTTAAGAAAAACACGACCAGAGCATTACTTGAGATCCGTTTGACATGAAGACTTGAGATTTTGTACACAGAATTTGAGTTGAGATGCACTGCATTATTATTTTTGACCCTGATCATATATTTGCATTCGTTAATGTTGGTAAAGAAGGGGAGACATGGTTTTTTTTGTAAAAAAAACGAATACCCACTAGTTTGCTACTATTTTAACATCGGTATAAGCTCAATTTAGTAGAGTTTACACCTCGGTGTTCAAGAGCACGGTACATAAGCTACATCCAAGGGCATATTTTTAGGTGAAATATGTGGGGATAACGAACAGTATTCGAGCTCAAAAGATGTTGAAAAAGCACAAGAAACATGTCCGATGTTTGATTAAAAAAGTTGGAGGAATTTCGGTCGGAAAGATGGGAATGGAGAAAATAGTCCGAGCCAGTAATTCAATATTTCGATATAGACAACGTTTTATCGATTAACAATATTTATTGACGGCCCTATGTCAACTCAATATATACCAGTATTTTTAGTTCATTTGGCTAAGTGCCAAATGCAACGTTTCCTTTACAAAAGAACATCACTGCCATTTTTCTTGTACTGGGGTACATGGGGAAAAGCTAGGATATGGCATTCGTATAGGTTCGCATGAAATATGATATTCTTTAACCAAAAACTGATGAAAGGTGTATGTACCACTGAATTTATAATTGATTGATTGAATGTTGTTTTACATCCCGTTCGAGAATTTTTCACTAATATAGAGACGTCACCATATACCGGTGAAGGGCTTCAAATATAGACCTTTACTCGGCACTCGGGGCCATTGAGTAGTGAGGTTTCTTTATTGTGCCAACGCCTATCGTGACACGGGGCCTCTGTTTTTAAGGTCTCATCTGAAGAACCCACAACTTTACTTCAAATGACGAGCGCTTGGTGAAGGAACAGTTGCTACCTATTTTTTATCGACTTGGGTCAGTCGCGGCCGTGATTCGAACTCACGACCTTCCGATCACGTAGAGTTTTTAATTAACATGGTGTCCGTCGGTCGGTCTGTTCGCCTGTCTGTAAACAATTTCTCAAAACGCTACTCCTCCTACAGTATTGGTCTGATTTCACACAAGTAGACTACACTAAGATACATAATTCTGCTTATCGGTTTTTGATTTCAATGAACGGTGTTGCCATGGTTACTAAAAATAGCAATTTCTATGAAATACTTTCAAAACGCTACTCCTCCTACTGATTTGGTCCGATTTCAATATAACTTGGCACACAAGTAGACTATACAAAGGTACAAAAGTCTGTGTATCGGTTTTTGATTTTAATGAACGGTGTTGCCTTGGTTACTAAAAATAGAAATTTCTGTGAAAAACTCCTCCTACAGTTTTGATCTGATTTCAATATAACTTGGCACACAAGTAGACTATAATAAGATACATAATTATGTATATCTGTTTTTGATTTCAATGAACGGTGTTGCCATGGTTTCTAAAAATATAAATTTCCTTGAAATACTTTCAAAACGCTATTCTTCCTACAGTTTTGGTCTGATTTTAGTATAACTTGGCACACAAGAAGACTACACTAAAATACATAATTCTCTATACCAGTTTTGGATTTCGGTAAATAGTGTTGCCATTGTTACTAAAAATAGAAATTTTCTTGAAATACTTTCAAAACGCTACTCCTCCTACACTTTTTGTCTGATTTCATTGTAACTTGGCATACAAGTAGACCACACTGAGATACATAATTGTTGTTGTTTTTTTTTTTTTTTTTTTTTTTTTTGATTTTGTTGAATGATGTTACCATGGTAACTTAAATCAAAATTTCTGTAAAATTGTTTTAAAAGGCTACCCATCCTAAAGTTTTAGTCTGATTGCAATAAATCTTGCCACAAAAATGAAACAAAACCAAGGATCATTATTCTATTTATTGTTGTTGCAAAGTTTCAAGTCCCAGTGCTACTTTTATCTTCCTTCATAAGTATAACCAGTAGAGCTACAGTCTCATCAGAGACTTTTGGTTTTGTAAACATTAGCTTTTAACGCCCTATTAATAGGCCAAGTATTTCATACAAAAGACTGTTATCAGGGAAAAAAATGAAATGTACTGATTAAAGCACAACATTTTGACAGCTTTTTATGTATTTGAACAATACCTTATTCATTAATTTTCTGTTTTCATGTAAGCAAATTTATTACGAAGTACAAACTGTACTTCGGGTTTTTCATGTAAGCAATTTTTTTCGAAGTACAAATTGTATTTCGGGTTCGTTGCCACTCTCGCTCTCGCACTTGCGCACTTGTCGCTCTCAGTGAAGAATATACAAATTTTACCGATAAATTTATTAGGAAAACACACAAAAGCTTTTTTATGTTCATGCAGCTGTAATCGCCTCGTTTTTCTTTTTAACATCGGGCTCGATGCTTTATGATGTTCTAGAAGTTTCCTTCAATATTAAGATCGTTGAATGACGAAAATAATTTTCCCATTTTCCTTTTTAATCGGTTATCACAACTTACTTCTTGTATATCATTGGAATCAAATTTTGATTGAATAATTCAGTGATGACATTTTATGAAATAAATAAACGATTGCTTGTTGTCAGTTTCATTAAAAATCGCCAGTAACTTAGATCCGCCAACCGGAACCGCCTCCGTACTCACGATTTTGAAATTTCATGCCTGTTTATAGAAAATGAAAGTAGACCTTTAATTTAATGTACGATACTTACCATGCGAGTGAAATCTGAATATAGTTTACGGACATCATCTTGTATCTAGTGTATTCTTAGAGGAATTAATAAGAACTCTGGTGCAACCCGTTCGGAGTTTGTTTGCAAAATTTATTTATAAGTATAGATTGATATTAATCATTTCTTGTAACAGATATGAGCAGATAAGGCAAAGGTATTGAATGTCATCATCTTTCAAAAAACATCAGAATATAAATTTTAGAGGAATACAATCTCTATGAATCCATTGTATGTGGTATTGATTGAATTCGCTGCCTCCTCTTCAAAAGAGCCCAGACAAACAAAGCAGAGGGTTTCAGCAGGGGAATTTTTTTTTCTCTTTTGTCGATGTCTGGTACCAATGATGTCTAAGATTTCTCGTGTTTTAACTGAAATTTGGCTTTAGCTTTAATTTTTCTCTATGCTTACTGTCTGGCAAACTTCAGCTGGTTAAGTGCCTTACTGCGGACTGATGATCTAATTAACTTTCCTTTGGCTAGTTGGACCTTTGGTGGCTGAAGGAAGCTTAAGACAGGGGCGTAGCTAGACGAAAATGATGTGCACGCCAAAAAAGGCAGGGGGTCTGGGGGCCGCCTTGAGGCCCCCAGTGGGTCCAGGGCGAAGCCCTGATGGGGGCCCAAGGGGCGAAGCCCCCGGAAACTCCTGGGTTTTCACGTTTAGACTGAACAAAATTTACGGTATTTTTAAATATATAACGTATGCTACGAGATGAAGTCAACTTCGCGATATTTTGATTTATGACACCAAAAAATAATAGATCTATTAATATTTAAAAAATATTTGTTTTTTTTTTTTTTTTTTATAAAATCAAGTGCATTGTCTGAATTTTTGTGATTACTTTTAAAAAGGTATTTTTAGTTCCATTTTTTGTCTAATTTTTAAATAATGAAAATAAAACAAAACAATTTCAATCCAGCAAATTTAATTTCCCCAAAACGTGCGGCGTCATGTTTCGTGTTTTATCGTTTAGCCTTTACCTAAAATTCTCCAAAATCCATTTTTCTGGATTTAGCATTAACAAATTGTTCCATTGCTTTTTCTATATCAATTTTAAAATCTCTGTGAATATGTAGAAGTCCAAGCGATGACAATCTGTCATTTCTCATAGTGGAACGGACGTACGTTTTCAGTCGCCGCAAAACGCTGAAGGACCTCTCTGCAGTTGCGCTTGCTACCGGCATGGTTAGCAATATGAATAAAATGGACTCTATTGTTGGATATAGCGCTGAATTAATAGAATCTAATGTACTGCAAAGTGTGCGCGGTTTCTCATCTTGCGCCGTCAATCTCCATCTTGTGCGCCAACGGGCAACTTCTCTCCTAAACTCTTCCAAAGACAATATGATATCGTCCTGAAAGGCATTGTATATGGCTGCAATATGTTCATTGGTAATATTTTCTAAATATATGGGAAGAAGGTGTTGCGCCATGAAACGATCCTCGGATTTAAGTAGTCGCGAATCGAGTTCCATAATAACGTGATCCACAAATGGATAATACAATGAAATGCGCCAATACTGTCGGGGAGTATCAGCTGGGTGATTGGCTCTCCCTGTCTGTCTTCCACACCGTCTTGGCATACTTTCATCCACTTGTAGCGGTGCAGCTAAATCTAATGCCACCTGATACAACTCGTCCCAAACTGAATCATCTTCCCTTTCCTGCCTCAGCATCTCAACAACAACTCTACACTCCTTGACTGCCTCAAGTAGATCGCATTCGACTCCCTGTAAGAAAAGAGAAAGGTGAACAGTGCTTTGTAGGACGTGCTCGGCAACAACTAGACCAATGATAAAATCAAATCTCGTAACTGCGTTAACCTGCTGTCCTGCTTTATCATCACCTTGGTCGTGCAAACTCTCAAGCGCATGTACAACTACCGGAAAAGATGTCTTTAAAGTGAACAAAGCATCCGCACGACTTGTCCATCTTGTCTCACATAAAGTCCGAAGCTTAGTTCTCTTTTCCATTTTTTCTTTCGTTGCCTCGTCTGCTTCCAATTCATCAAAGAAAGCCTGTAGCTTCTTTGATGAATAATCAAAAGAAAATGCAATTTCTTGAACGGTGGTCATTACGCTGCGAATCGACTTGTTACTGCAACTGTGCACAACGGCTAAGTTCAGACAGTGGGATTTGCAATGTACATATAGCGCACCTGGTACAACCTGCCGTATTCTTGCCTGTACCCCACTGTACTTTCCAGACATATTTGCTGCTCCATCATACCCCTGAGCTCTCATTTTTGCAATATCTATACCAGCCCTTGAAGAGTTTGAATCAAACGTTCGGCTAGATGTTCACCTTTTGTGCTACGTGCCATAACAAAGTCAAAAAAATCCTCTTTAATAGATATTTCATTGCTCACTTGATCCCGAACCAAGTAACGTAGGCAAACAGAAAGCTGTTCTCGAGTCGCAGTATCTGTGGTTTCATCAGCTATGAGCGCAAAACATTTACTCTTGTTGCAATCAGCAACAATGGCAGTTCGGATTTGGTTTGCTAGCAAATTTATAATTTCATTTTGAATGTCAGGGGATGTGTAGAGAGTTTTGCGATTCCCTGAAAGATGTTCAGCAAGTATTTCATCTCCCTGCGCAATAGAATGCAATATTGCTATGAAATTACTGCGTTCCGGAACGTGTCCACGGATGGGTATATTTTGCTTTCCACAAAGCAGAAGTACTTCCATAATTTTCTTCAAAATATGACGATTTTTTGAAACTTGGGCCTTTCTAAATGTTGATAATTTATACAAGATGGGCTCTTCATCGCCATCTTTAGAGTAAATTCGTATGAATTCCTCGGCCATTGTTTGGTATGTGTAATGTGGTGAATTTTCCCTAAGGTGACGTTTGATGAAACCAGGTAAGTTTGACCAATCTGTAACTTTATTTATGAAAAGTTTTTCTTTGCATTCTTTTCGGCCAAACAAAACACATGGACCACAGTATAGGGCATCATCTTGAATGCTGTATCGTAACCAAGGGTGATCTAGAAGCCATTTAGCAGATAAACGGCGTCGACGATTTCCAAAGTCCCTATATGGAAGCAATAACAAAAAATCACACTGGCATTGGATTTCTTAGTACCATAACGTAGATGCTTATTTTAGAAATGTCATAAAAATGAATGACGAAGATATTCAGGTTACATGTACTATAATGTCAACAATCTTTAATTTCCTTTTTATTTCCCTACAACTGTCAAGAAATCTCTTTCATTATTTGTTTAATATTTACCTTGCAGGAAAGTCGAAAGTGTGGGGATTTTCCCATTTACATGTCAAAATATTCATTTTTGTTTCCTTCACAAGCAGTTCGGGGTCGTCTAACGTGGCAATATCTGGGTAGGGTGGGAGGCTTGCAGAAATCGTCGAAGATGAACATGATGGAGGTGATTCCTTCGAAGGGGTTGATGCCCCTGAATCATTATCGGGGATACATGTATTTTGCTCAGATTTGTCTGGTGTTGAAACCGGTTTCGTAACCTTACTGAAAAACCGGTCTATAGTTTGATTCGACTGCTTTGATTTGGGTTTCGTTTCGGGTGTTTTTGACATTATTGATTAGTTTGTATAATACGTACCATGCCAGTCATTTCATTATCGGAAATACAGTTACGCGCATTTAAATTGGAATTTTTATGAAAAGAGTTTGTAAATCCGGATTAACTATAGGTATTACATATATAACGTTAGGCCTGCAGGCATAGTAAGTTTACACGGAATCTTTTAGGAATTTAATTTTTTATATGACGATATAATCATTTTTTTAATAATAAATTTTATAAAAATGCACAGTAATTTTTTTTTGGACTAAAAGATGTGCACGCCATGCCGTGCTGGCGTATAGGCAGCTACGCCCCTGTAAGAGATATGATGAGAGACCATGAACACCTGTACTGGTCCCAGCAATTTTTGTCGATGTATCAACACTTCTCAAACTGCGAAGCAGCTGCATCTGCTAAAATCTACAGACCAGATATTTCCTGGTCTGTTTGTTGTTGAACGTTCCTCTCGATATTTTTTCATTCACATGGAGACGCCACAACTTGCCGGTGGGGGGCTTCAAATTTAGACCTATACTCGGTACTCGGGGCATTGAGCTGTGAGGCATCGTTTTATGCCTTCACCTACTGCGACACGGGACCTTAGTTTATACGGTCTTATTCGAAGGACTGATGTCTACGTCCCGCAGTGGGATTCGAGCCCGCGACGTTAGGATATTTCCTGGTCCTCGTGATGCTGATTATATCTCATGATACTCTTTGGCCCAGTATCATCTTTTGTTTCCATAGAACCCTTATGATGCACATAAACTTTCTCAAAATTTGATTTCTCTTTAATTTCTTGTATACATCATACCCAGGAGACACCCCCTCAATGTCATATCCTTCTGCTTCTCTTCTCTCACAATTATCTCTAACGGGTGTTGAAATTGCAAAGTTATAAGCATCAGAAGCAATCTGACACCTTTTATCTTCATTAACATGCACCTTGCCAAAGTCAGAGTTTGGTACATTGTCCTTGACTGGAGAGCTTATGAAAGTAAGAGAATTTACTGAGCTTACAGAGTAAGACACAGCATATCTATCTAGTGGAATAATCCCAGCACCTTTGAATTGCCCACTACATGTATAATACTTGTTTAAAAAACTTGTGTGTTTTTTCTTAGCAGCAAAATTGCGCTTTTTTTTATTGGTTTGTGTGGATTTTCTTGGGCTTCGTTCGAGAAAAATAAACTACCATCTGCATAAAAAAATAATTTTAAAAATGTGTTCTGAAAATAACTTCAATACAGTTTAATGGTAAATGTCATGTTATTTTCATCTTTCAATCCCTGTCCCTAAATTAATTACAAAAAATAAATAAAGGGTTCTTCCCATTCATTTATTGCATTTTTATTTATTTTTTACTTAAAAATAATATTTTAAATGATGAAAAACAAAATTGAAAGATAATAAAGCGAATAAAAAGGGAAATCATTTTATTACGAATTTGGATCTTTTGAAATATTGGTAGTGTGTCTCCGAAGCAGTAGGTGCTGGCACGTAAAAGATCCCTCACTGCTTTAAGGTTGTAAGTACCGAGTACAGGTCTAAATTTGCAACCTTCCACTGGCAAGTGACGGCGTTTCAATATGAGTGAAAAATTCTCGAAGGGATGTTAAACAAACAAAAGTAGACACATCGGTCAGGGTAGTCTAGTGGTAGGGCTTCGTGATGGGAAGGAAAGGCCTGGATTCAATTATCGTTCGTCGCGCCGCGTCAAACGTAAGACACAGGTAGTGACTGTTCTTCGCCAGGCGCCCGGCACTAGAAGTGAAAGTCACATTCCCTCGGTTGAGACCTTAAAAACCGAGGTCACGGTAGGCGTTGGCACGATAAAGAACCCTCATTGCTCATATCACACCTCATATGCAGATACATATTGAGGAGAGTTATTCAACTTTGCATAAAGGTGAAGGGGAACAAAATTTGTGAATTTCATGGTCTCTGTCCCCTTCCCCGGGGCCTGAGGAATGGGACAAACACCATCAAAATTAGTACTATCTTTAAAAATCTTCTCCTTTACTCCCGGACATCAAGCAGTCAAACTGTTGGCATGATTGTAATAAGCATTGAGCTCTCTTCCGAAATTGTGAAATTCATGGCCCCAGGGTTAGGGGTTCTTTAATTAGGGTGAACTGTGTTGATCATTTAGTGAAGATGCATAAATTCTTTTAAAAAACTTTTCCCTCCCTATATATGAAGCAGATAAACAAGGTGCATGGTTATTATGATCAAGGTTGCCTCTTCCAAAATTGTTAAATTTGTGGCCCAAGGGTGAGAGGTCCTTTTGATTATATAGTGAAAGTGCATTATTTCTTTGATTTTTTTTTTCTGCCCCTAGCTAATAGCAAATAAACTAAGTATATAGTTATGATGAGCAAGGACACCTCTTCTAAAATTATGAATATCTTGGCCCCTGGGTCAGGGGTTCTGATGTTAGGGCGTGGCTCTATTCATCATGTGAAAATGCTTAAATTTGTTGAAATTCTTCTCTCTCCTGTATATGAAGAAGATAAACTTAGTGCCTGGTTATGATGATCAAGGGTGCCTCTAGCTTTCAAAACTGTAAAATTTGTGGCCCAAGGGTGGGGGTTCTGCAGGAGAGGGGAGGGGGGCTATATTGATTATATAGTTCAATAAAAATGGAACTCGTAAATTTACTTACCGTGTCATTGGTCATTTGCAAAATTATTTTGTTAAAAAACATTCTGATTGTACACAAGTACTCTGAAGTTGATATTAAAAAGATGCTTGAATTTTCTGAATGACAATATCTATGTGGTTTTTGGAGACCAGGTCTTCCAACAATTTATTGGAATTTCCAGGGGTATCAATTGCGCCCCGTTATTAGCAGACCTTTTTTTGTATTCATATGAAGCAGAATTTGTCCAAAATCTTACTCGTGAAAGGAAGAAAACACTTAGTTGCTGTGGCCTTCAACTCGACATTTAGATATATCGACGAGGTATTGTCAATTAACAATGGTTATTTACATTCTTATGTCGATACGATATATCCCGGTGAGCTTGAGATAAAAGATACCACAGAGTTTGACACATATGTTTCATATTTGGATATTTTACTTGAAAAAGACGTTAATGGTAACCTAACAACCAAGCTTTATGATAAATTTGATGACTTTAACTTTTCAATCGTCAACTTCTCTTACTTATGCAGTAAAATATACCTTCATCACCTGTATACGGGGTTTATATCTCTCAGTTGATTCGATACGCAAGAGCGTGCTCTACGTATGTACAATTTCTAAAACGAGGTAAATTATTGACAAACAAGTTGATAAAACAAGAATATCAACAGTCTCGTTTAAAGTCATCATTTCGTAAGTTCTATGGTCGTTACGATGACCTTGTCAGCAAATTCAATTTATCATTGAGTCATATGCTGACTGACGTTTTTCATACTAATTGTTAGGCCATTATTTACACACTGAATTGTCGGCGGATTTTTTCCGTTATTTCCCGATCATGACGAGGAGCACACGGCGGATGTGACCGGTTGCAGGGGATGCTCACTCCTCCATGGCACCTGATCCCACCTCTAATGTTTTGGAGGTCCGTGGTTGCTCTGCTCCTATTTTGTAATGTTTAATGGACTTTTGAGCTTGAATACTGTTCGTTATCTCCATATATTTCATAGTTCGTTGTTTAGCGTCCCTCTCGAGAATTTTTCA